TGCAGAAGCCATGTCAGGAAACGCGGACTGAAAACGTTCCCAGCCTAACGGAGGGGCTGGAGCTGCTCCTCAGAGCAAGCAGCTGGTTTCCCTTTTAGGGTCGGCAGCAGGCAGAAACAATTTCACGCAGATTCCAGGACCCATAATGGTTCTGGAAAGCCAACAGGAACAAAAAGCGTTCTTCTCCTCTTCTGACCTTGGAGCTTGTTGAGAACCATCTTCCAAAGCGTTTTCCCTGGACGGTTTCATCCTTACATGGGGAACGCTTGCCTGTCCCAGTGAGGTTGTGCTTTCTCTTCTGCATATCTGTTTAGGTGTGAACTGTGACTGCACAAGCTGTGCTCAGAGCAGCCCAGGGAAGATGAGAATAGGCAGGAACCTGACAGACAAAGGCAGGTCTATTCCTGTGTCCTGGAAAAATTAAGTGTTTCCCTAGGAATAGCCTTAGGTTGCCTTGGGTTGCTCTAGGATCACTTCGGGGAGCAGCTGGTTGTGACCTGACAACGAACAACAAACTGGTGTGAAGTTACACAGCGTTATGGGTTCACCATATACATGAGACCTCTCACTGAAGGAGTTCATTGTAGCAGGAATAGTCTCAAAAAGCTGGTTAAACTCTTAAGTGATTGTGTGTAGTAGAAAGCCTGGCCCTGGACAGTCTGCGCTGCCTCCTTTGCAGAATAGGTCCCCAGTTTATAGACACTAAAATTAATGCAATAATCTCCTGGGGCTGTTGCTAAGCCATTGGCTGGGTGGCTGTGGACAATGACACCGGGGTGGTGTTAGGTGCATGTTACTCTCTAATTAGAAAGTGGACTCTGCTGCGTGTCCTTGACAAATTGCTGACCTTTCTCATACGTGAAGCTATTCTGAGCTCTGTTCCAGACTGATCAGATTTGCATCCTGGAGCACTTTAAATATTGTTTGTGAGAGGAGCTCTTGTTCCCAAAGCTGTTTGTTCATGGGCACAGGAGAGGAACTGAACTTTCTTTCCTCCATGAGCACAACTATATCTGTCAAAGGGAAAGGGTAGGCAGCTGGCAGGCATATATCTGTTGTTTATTTTTGTCCTCAGACAGCCAGCGAGACAGCTGAGAGAATACCCCACATCCAGCTCCACCGCCCCACATAGAAGGGAACTGCTCCAGTAGACCTTGTCCCACAGGGACCGCAGCCATCTGGTAATGGGCAAGCAAGCACTCTTTGCAACGGGAATCCCATCATTTTAGGGCAACACCTTGGTTAGTATTTGAAGGCGTTACTTACATCAGCCTAGCACACAGCTAATGTTTACAGGGTGGTGCAGACTGCAGAGTATGAGCACATGCTAATTAGCACACATAGTGACTGCCTATGTTGTGCCTTCTAAATCTGAGCCTCAGATTAGCCTTTTAATGCATTTTAAAACTCTACCTCTTTTCTTCATCAACGGGGACAATTCCCAGGTTCCTCATTACAATCACAGTAAGAATTGTGGGCTCTTGTACTATTTCTTTTAGTCTATTTCTTTTGCCCCACCTTCCTCTTCTCCATGAACTTGGTCTCTGGCAGTGCCATGTCCTCAGGGGCGAAGATGCATAGTTTGCTTTGGCGTTGCATAGGGCTTTGACACGCCTGCCCAGCACTGCATGCGAGACCGGAACAAAGTGAGCAAACAGCTTATCTAATACAAATAACCCTGAGCAAACTTCCTGGGCCTGTTCTTTTTTCTGTGGAAAAGGCAGTGCGGAGTCTGATCCCCTGTGCTCTCATAGCACTCTCAGCCACGTGACGCTCTTGGGACTTGCTCTGCTGGCAGTCCGTGCATCTGCCAGCCCGTTCGGACTGCGCAGCCTGGGGAGCGGGAGCTTGGCTCACAGAGCGTGCAGCAGACATAGGTAGACTTGGGGGAGAAACTACTCAAAGCAGAGGCAAGCATGGCACAATGCTTTAAGGTCTTCCTCGGTATATCATCTTCAGAGGGTTTACATGGTTTTCACTTCCTCTTCTGTGGCTGCTCTGTGTCGCGCACCTGCGGTGAAAGCGGTGCTGAGGGGCACCCGCCGGCGCTGCCTGCAGTATTGCTGGTGAGTGCCGGCCGAGGGCTTCAGCCAGCACAAGGCTAGCTGGTGGGCTCGGGAGTGCCAGCTGCCCTCGGCAGTGGAGGAGAGGAGGACGGGCACTGCCAGAGGCCTGGGTGACAAACAGCATTTGGGATTGAAAAGTTCCTGTCCTGTCACTTGCTTTTTTAATCCCTGTTTCGATCATGGTGATAGCTCAGCTGCCCCAGGGGGGCTTGCGCTGGCCATGCCACAGCCCGGAGCACTTGCTGTGGAGCTGGTGCTCACACCCCGTAGCTCTCCTGTGGTTTGGTGGCTGGCACCAGGTCCCGAGGGTACGTGCGGGGCCAGGGGATGGCGCGTGCTCGAGGCAGCAGCACCTGCCTTGTCAGGGTGGTTCAGGGGTGCGAGAGCCCCAGCAGTCCGTGGTGGGTTTACGCTGCCCATCTCCTGCCCCTGCGACACAGGGAAATGCTGTCCCTTGTTTTGAGTTTGGGGACCGGGGCTCACAGAGGGACAGCGTCTGGGTCAGGCGCAGCAGTGCTCGGGAGGCTGAGTCCCTATCACCGGGAAAACCCAAGGCTTCTCCCATCAAGCTGTTTTTCTTTCCCTTGTATATTCTGATGTCTTCTGACCCCGTATTACAGGACCACAGAGATAAAGCGCAGCCCATTGAGCAAACATGGCAGCTCCCCGCTCCGGCGGTACCGTGGCTCCCAGGGTAGGAGTGCTCATTAGAGGCACTTTTATTACAGACACACCTTGGAAAGTTCCCTTCAACAGGGCTGGGAGGAGGAGGGTTATTAATTTGATTTCATTCTTTGCCAGAGAGAAAGGTCCCAGGTGACTTCAGGGAGTGCAGGCAAGTGGGGCAGCAGAGGAGGAGGCGGTGGGTGAAAAGCGTCCAGGAGCCGTGTGAGGTGCCGGGGGGCGTGGGAGCTGCCACCTGGTCGGGTGAGCACCTCATGGGGTGCCCCAGAGGGGGGGCACGGGGGGGCCAGCCTAGGCTGGGGGCAGAGCTGGGATAGCTGGTCTGTTTCGGCTCCCTGGCCCTGGCACCCATCTGGCTGCCCTGTGCAAACTGCCCCGAGCGCCTGCCCCATCTCCAGTAACAGACTGGAAATTGCCCAGCCCAGGCCGCCTTGTTCCACGGGCAGCAAGTCTGAGGCTGCTGGTTGGGGCTCTGGAGGACAGGCTTGGCGGAGCGGTGGCCCCAAGTCCGCGCTGCTTGCAG